AACCAAGATCTGAAGCCTGCAGATAGGGTTCCAGCTAACTCAGATCTTGCTGACATCTCTGGACTCACTTCCAGACTCCAGCAAAAGCAGAAGGTCCTCCTCTGAGACCTCTCCCTAAACCCCCAAACCCTTGCCCCAGGCTACCCTTCTGCCTACCCACCCATCCCCTGCACATCATAACACTGAATCATTTAGTTAATAATAATAATGCATTTCTCTTACTAAATGCCACCGGTTTCTCTAAGCATTTTATATGTACAAACTCACTGATTCTCATACAACCCTATGTGATGGTTGGGGGGTATCATCCTCCCCATTTTACAGAGGAGGAAACCGAGGCAGAAAAGTGAGGCTACATGGGTTGGGGTGGGGTTTGGTGAGGAGCTCTTAGCCACCGTGCTCTGCTGCCCCTCATTGTCTGCACCGTCTTTGCCCCCTCCTGCAGCCCTCCATGCAGGGCCAAACCTGAGCATCCTGCTGTCCCCAGGGCTCAGCCAGCGCCTGGCACAAAATGGGAGCTCAGTCCAGACTGCTGAACAAAACCAGACCAAAGTTTCTGCCCCGACATCACAAAAGTTGTCCCCATGCAGTGGGCTTGGCCACCTTCTCTGTTGTTCCCCGCAAGTTCCAAAGGTCCCTCTGCTCGATGAAGAGGACAGAAACCAAATGGAAGTTAGAGGTTTTGCCTTCTCTGTCACCTGCTAATATCACACCCTCTGTCTTCTCTTTCTCACCTTATCCAAATATTTCTGGTGACAGGGGCTCAACCCTCCTCCTGATGCCCTTTCAGCTTCCTGGTCTAGAAAATGAGGGTGATAACACCCACCCCAAGAGCCGCTGGGAGACTGAAAACATTACGCTCAGTGAAAGAAGCCAGTCGCCAAGATGACATATTATGTGATTCCATTTATAAAAATGTCCAGACCAGGCGAGTCTAGAGACAGAAAGTAGATCCATGGTTGTCTATTCCTGGGGAGGGTCTGGGGAATGATAGCTAAAGGGCACGGTGTTTCTTTTTGAGATGATAAAATGTTCTAAACATTGACTGTGGTGATGGTTGCACATCTCTGTGAATATCCTACAAACCACCGGCTTGTGCACCTTCAATGGGTGAACTGTAGACGATGTGGACTGCATCTCAAGGAAACTGTTGTTTTAAAGAAAGGAGGAGGATTGCTAGGCACACTGACATGGGCTCACTGCACCCATAGCAGGGACGGAAGCCCAAGGAAATGAGGAGTATCTGGAGAGGCTGTGTCTGCAGAGGAGTGAGGTGATCAAACTGAGATGAGTGTGCGTTCTGAGGAGGGAAGCAACGTGAAGCCCAGACCCACGTTCATGAACTTGCTGCATCTGCCCCGAAGTCAGCAGGGTGGGCTGGAATACCACGGTGACCCACCCTGACCACTCCCTGCTTGGCCACACCAGACGCTGCCACAGGACTGCACACCAGGTTTTGCAATCCTGTCAATCCTCCTCCAGTGGTTTCTGTGAGTCCTGGCTGCACGCCTAGACTGTGGGCTCCCCTGGGTGGAGGGGCGGTTGCATCCTCGTGTCCTTCCCCTCTCCCTCCACTTCTGCTCTCTGCCACCATCCTGCATGGCACCCCGCCTCTCTTCACACATGCACTTGGAACCATTTCTTTTAGCAACCTTCACTTTCTCACACATTGGGCCACCTGTTTCTAAAACCCATCACTGTGTCCCAATCTTTATCTCTACAGCCTGTACAGCCACCTGTCCTGGGCAGATCTTACATAAGCAGCTCACATCTGCCCCTTTACTTGCAGCCCCTTAGGGATAAGGGACACAGTGCTCTGAGCAGCCCTTTTCCAAGGATGGGGCACTGGACAGAGATGTAATGTGTCGTATACATGGATGTGCCTCATTTTAAGTAAAAAGCACTTTGTAAAAATCTGATCTCATAAAAGTAGATTTGGGAGTGATTATTCACACGCACAACTGGGACAATGCCTCTAATGTACCAGCATTCCAAACGCACTCAATAAATGTGGCTATTAGTCTTACTGTCGTCATTGCCATGATTTTGTGTTAATAACACTTCTCTGGGCTTGAGACAGGCCACAAACAAGGAAAAGGACTACCTTCACCACTGCAGTCTTTTAAGAGACCAGAAACAGAACAGAAACAGGACCCTGGTAATTAACAGGAAGAAATGGCTATTCATTAGGTTTTCATGTCACTGGACACACGGGACTGGCATGAGATATCCCAGCTGCTGCCACTTCTTCCAGAAGAAATCAATCTCTTTACTTAGCAAACAGAGGATCTGGATGAATAATCCATCATTTCCACTCGTTTTTAAAAATTAGTCAATATTTTTTGTTCCAAAGAAAGTCTTCACTTTCTCACACCCAGTAGGTGGGACAGAATGTTTTCCTGCTCAAAGAAATGCCTCACAGCCCGTACCAAGACCCAAAAACTTTCTCTGGAAAACCTCAGTGCCCAGAATTCCACAGGTTGACTCTTTCTCAGAGCCCCAGACTCCTAAGACCATCACAGAAGCCAGGGCAGAGCTAAGTCAAACCTGTTTTTCCAGCTGGGATTCCAGGGAAATCCTCAGTCCCTGCTGGGGCTGAAGGTACTTCCCTTGGCATTACGGCCTCCTGGGGTACTTTGGGGATAATTAGGCTCTTGCTTCTTTGATAAACTGCAGCTCATTTACAGGGATAGACAGTGCTTTGCATAGAGCTTTCACTCGACCTCTCCCAGCTCCTCCCTGAGAGGTGGCCAGTATTCTTATTTTACTGATGAGGGAACCGGGACTCAGAAAGGCGAAGGTAACAGAGCTGAGACATCAAGCCAAGACTTCCAGGGTCAGCACCACTTCCATCATCCACATAGCTCACTTGAATAGTTATGTTATTATGGGGTAACTTGCTGAGTATCTAAACAGCCACACCCTTTACTGAACACCTACTGTGTGCTCTCCTACACTGCCTCATTTACTCCAGCTCTACCTGGTGTCTAACGGACATCTCAGATGTAACACGTCCACAAGAGGAATCCTGCTTCTGCATCCCCACACTTACTCCTCCTTCTGTCTTCCCAGTCTTGGGAAATGGCACCACCATTCGCCCATTGACTGGGGTCCCAGTGCTTAGAGTCTTCCTGGAAAGAGGGAGAGAGAGAGAGGGAGGAGGGAGGGAGAACAGGGACGGAGAGAGGAAGCAAGGGAGAAAGGAGAGGGAGGACGGAACAGGGAGGCGTAACACAGAAAGGAAGGGATGGATGAGGAGAAAAGAAGAAAAGGAGGATGGAGTAGGAAGGAAGTGAGGGAAAGACCAAGGAAGGATCCTGCCACTCCAGGAAAGCATAGGCCAAAAGCCTCTGTACGCAATGTTGTTTTAGCCTGTTTAAGTCAACAACCTCAAAATAACATTTTATTCTTGTTTGCTTGTTTGCTATGACACTGGGTTCACTGCCATTTATAGGGTCACAAAACCATGAACCTCCCTGAAACAACTACTTTCAGAGCAGGAATCTGGGCCACGCTGCAGTTGTGTGCAGTTTTTCCAAAGGCAAGATGAACTAGACACAGTCCCTGAGCCTAAGAAACCTAAAATCTCATCCAGATGACAAGGCTTATATCCACTAGTCATAAGACAAGGCAGAAATTGACAAGCGCCAAAGAGCTCTACACAGAGAGAGCTGTGGCAGCCCATGGGAGTGAGGAGTAATTCCTGCCAGGTGTGTAGAGAACGTGTCCTTGGGGCAGACCTTTGAAGGGAGTGTGGGTGGGAGAGAGAATGACTGTGTGCTGGGCGCCCACCCTGCACCCAGCAGTCACTGGTCCTACACGTGTGATTCCCATTCTACACATGGTGAAACTAGGGGAGTGGGAAGACTAAATAACGTGCCCAAGAGCATGCAAGGAAAATGAGAGCCACGCTCTGAGACTTAAATTCAGATCGAACATGAGAATTCAAGCAGAGACCTGTGATGTGTCTGGACCACACAGAGTGAAATGTACCCGGCCCCTCCCAAGAAGATTTCTCAGGCACCCGCTTTCTCCACAGACTCCCCACCACCTCCTCCCTTTGACCTGCATCATGTCTATCTCCCTTCCAAGAGTGCAAGGTCCTTGAGGAGGGGAGGGTTCCTGTCTTGACAACGTTTCAATCAATGTGTTGTGAGTACCTAGCAAGTGCTTCTATTCCCTGCTGCCTGAACATTTATTCACACATTGATTACATCATTCATCTCAGCTGCATTTTCTTAGCACCCACTCTATGCCAGGCCCTGAGTTGGCTCTAGGACAAAGAGATGAACATCTTGGAGTTCCCCCAGTGTGGTGGAGGGGACAGAAGTGTCAACAAGAAGCACAGTGCCTTCCCAGGGCGAAGTGAGGGGTGAAGGAGTGCAGTCAGAACCCCAAAGGGTGAGAGAGGGGGTCTGAAAAGCATCACTGGGGAGCACGGGGTGGGGCCTGAGCCCTATCTCCTAAAGCAAGGCAGGTGGGAGGCATTCCAGGAGGGAACAGAATATGCAAAGGCAGATAAGCATGAAATATTGTGACGGGAACTAAAAGCCTCTGAGACTGGAGCACAGAATGCGGGCCAAGGAGAAGATAAAACTAAAGAGGCCATCTGGGCTCAGATCTTAGCGGGCCTTGAATGCCAGGATAAGGAGTGTGGCCTCCATCATGGGGTCCGCGGAACCATGGCAGGGCTTTAAACAAGGAAAGATGTGAATAGGTTTGTGTAACGTAGTTCCAACGATGGTGTGTAAGGCAAGAGCCTGAAGGCGGAGAGAGGAGACTATGGCAATAATCCAGCCTTGAGAAAGAAAGAGAGAGAAGGGAAGGTGGGCGGGGGCGGGCAGAAAAGATGTGCAGGAAGATGGAGGCAGAAAAGACTAAAGGAGAGAAGTCAGAGGAGGAAAGGGCACAGAGCTGCTGTCGGGCTGCGGCTAGCGGGCGAGCAGGCTGGGTTCGCTGGGCACTCACCCGCCGGCCGGTTCGCTACTTCGGGGACTCACCGCGGAGCCAGCGCGCGCCGGCGTGCGTGTCCTTGAGGCGGCGGTGCGCGGAGCTGCGGCCCACGTACCACAGCATCCAGAGCAGCTGCAGCAGCATGAGCGCCGTGAGGAAGCACAGCAGGTCGCTCTTGCCCACGCCCGAGGCGTGCACGGCCCAGGCCAGCAGGAACAGCAGCCCCGCCACGAACACGTTCAGCCCATACTGGCTGCTCAGCGCCTCCGCCAGCTTCTGCGGGAAGCTGGCGCGGATGGCGCCCCGACGAGGGGCCGGAGAC